CTCAAATTAGAGATTTCAAAGGATTATAGCAAAAATAAGTGAGACGCAGTGTCAAAATGGTAAGATTTATTTAAGCTAGTCAATAGATGCAGGGATATTTGTCATATCACTCCATATTTTTCTATAAGTTTGAAATATTTTATAATAAAAAAGTTAAAGAGATATTTACACCTTCGTGGAACTGGACAACAGTACCTTGCCAACAATGAGACGACAGTTAAATACAGGCAAGGCTGAGCAGTTCTAGAACTGAATTCTTAATCCCCACCATTTCATCCCCCCAGAACATAAAGCAGAACTGAAACCAAGATACCAGTCATAATGGCAGCTAGCCTTCGAACTTTAATTTACTACTTATTTCCCTCCTCAGTCATCCTCTTTCTAAAAAATGTTTCCTGTAAAAATGTGCAATCATGATGTAAGATTCAACAGATCTGCACCCAAAGGGTTAAGAGAGCAATTGCACGTTGTGGGAACACTAGGCAAAGCCTACCATACTAACTGAAAAAAAAGGGAAGGATACTGCTGGATTTGCCTCACCAAACAGGGCAATTCAAGAGGCTTATCTGAAGGCTAGGCTGCTGAGAAGGAAAAACCCTGACACCTAGTGCCCATCTGAAAAAACGAAGTCTTGGAGCCACTACAATTTTAAGCCTGGCACTGTGTGTGGAGGTGATCATCAAATTGCATTCAATCTGGAACATACTTAACTCTCAGAAAAATTTTAAGGAAAAAATGTAATGCCATGCAAGAATTCCAGTCTCTACCAATCCCTTTTGGAGTACACATCCTAAACTTAATTATTATATCTGCTTCTAGACACAGCATCTTCTCATCGCAGATTTTCATTAGGACAGGAGCAGTGAGAGGGAATGGATAGATTCACATTGTTAAAAAGCCCATGTTCTGAAACAGTAAGGAAAACAGGGTCCTCCTCATTTCTATCCACACTAATTTTGCTATAAAAGGTGTCTATCGTATCTTTTAGCATTGCCCAATTTGGAGATTCATCATCTAGTTCACAGAGCAGTTAAAGGAAATATAATAAAAGAATGCTAATAACATTTCAGAACATATAAGAACACAGTCTCAAGAAGGCCAGTGCTTTCTTTGTCCTACCAGGCAAAGTTAAGTTGTTCTCCGTCAAGTCGGTTACAGACATTGGCTTGATCTTAGCCTGAGCCTTTTAATAACAGGATTTGGTGCGAAAAGCAGCTACATTGGATTGTGAACTGTTACTCAAAGTGTTCCCACCTACAATTACAGCTTCCACCAAATGATCAAAACAGGTTAGCGAACTGGCAGGAAAATGAAAACAATTCCCCCCAAATTGAGAAGCGGTGAAAGTAGAACTGCTGGTTAGCCGCGCTTCTTCTACATCCAGGCTCAACAGCATACATTCATCTAGCTGTGTATTTACATACAGTGCCCATCACAGGAGCATGAAATCAGTTTAGTCTACGCTGCAATCACATTTTCCTCAATTTTCATCTTTACTTGAAACGATTAAAAAAAAATCCTAGACAACTTATCTTTGGAGCTATTTGCAAGGAACGTAGTTCACAGATTTGGTCTACATCTTTTTTATTCCTACTCTAAATTCATACTAAATGCAATGCCATTCAAATCTGACAATGAGAAAAATGTGTTCTCCTATACCTTTCATCACGCATAAGGTGGCATTCCTTCAGTTACATCTCTCTCAGTGGGGAAGGGACAACTAGGAAAATAGAAAGGAGAGAGTAGCTAACGTCACATCAGAAAAGCTCTCTTTTGCCTGCTTTTAACTCGGCCACAATGTTCAAAATGCAGATCACATCTCTGCTGAAACAGCCAATATTCTTCCTCAAATGGCAAACAAGTTACCTAAAACTAAATGGAACTGAACTGTTCCAAGTCCTGGTCCCATCACCTTTTTACCTATTTACTGTCCTGGAACAAAAATAGGGAAGAAAGACTGGTTACCCACACAGCCGATGGTATGATAAGTGCAGGCTTTCTGTCTTTGATTACGGGGAGAAGCATCTCAATTCATGGGGCAACTCTGCAGGAATCTCTTGTTTTACCTGTATTCCTTATATCCATGTGCTAGCTTTGAAACCCAGAAACTCCAATCCTTCAAGGTAATGCAATATCACCCACCATGATGACCTGGTGGAGCTGTCACCTTTGGAGAACACCACATTATGATGATTTAATGGCTACGTAGCATTGACGCATTTACATTGAGCCTCGGCTCTCAGAACATTAACAGGTCAATCTTTTATTCCTTTTTTTAATAAAACTATTTCTCAAGGCTCCGTTAGATGCCCATTCTCTTTGGGATAGGACTGATTTGCTCCCAATCTCATCAACATGAGCTCTTTTCCTTCCCCTCACATCATTCTTGGGGTAATATGTAGAGTGCCAAGCTCATGACAAACTTGTCTCTTTAGCCAAAGAAAATTAAACGGCAATTGCTGAAAGTCAACTTGCCTCGATAAAACTGGGCTCAGCACGAGGAAATACATCCTCCTGACACCTCGTCATCTCTTAGGCACAGCTGTCCCTCAGAGTTCTGACTGCTGAAACTCCATCTTTAGATTGGTCAGTCGCTCAGTGGACATGCTTCATTGTACGTTCAAGCTCTTGGTAACCAAGTTGGATACTAATACCCCAACCTCATTCCTGTTGTGCAGGACCCTGTAATCTAGCTAAGGCCACTGACTGACTTCACCAGCCATGCCGGGCATTAGTCACTAAGTGCTCACAAAAGAAATCAGTCTCACTCCTCCTGAGCTCAAAGACTCAGAAACAGCAAGCTGACACTCAGCTTCAATCCTAGTCAACCATTTGAAGGAAAGGAAAAGAGAACAAAGAAAACAGGCAACTAAGGAGGGAAAAGAGGAGGACAAGAAGAAAGTAAGAACTGACGAAAAGCAAAAGAAAATTTTAAATACTATTAGATTTCTAGATTTCAAGATTATTATTAAAGCAATGGACAAAGGAAAACATGTGGTCCCTGTATTGACGCTACTACTCACAGCCCTAGTCCTATGCTGCTGTTTAAGACATCCCTTTGAGCCAAGGTTTGCTGGGTCTTAAAAGGGTTAAAAAAAACCTTTAATTTTTTTTTTTTAATTCGTGTGTGTGTGTGTGTGTGTGTGTGTGTGTGTGTGTGTGTGTGAAAAAAATTTTTTTTTATTTTTTAATTTGTGTGTGTGTGTGTGTGTGTGTGTGTGTGTGTGTGTGTGTGTGTGGTCTTTGGGTACAGAGTCCCGTATAATAAGACTATTTGTATTCATACTGGCAGAGTAAACACTACATGTTCATGCCCAGGCAGCTCTGTGCTTGTAATTTCAGCAAGAACAGAGCTCTGTCCCTCTGGGACTTCACTATTCCCCCAGTCTCCATTCGCTCAAACAGAATGAGAGCAGAGAGAAAGCAGGACAGAAAGATCATGGCAAGAGGTTTCACACAGCACTGCAGCTAGCTTTCACGTGGCCAAAAATCTCATTTTGTGTTTTAATTACATTAGTTAAAAGCGTTTTTCTCTCAGTCCCCTGTTCACAAGGGTGCCTTCCACTCCTGAAGACTCCACTGTTCAATGAATCAGAATTTAAGTCTAGCACAATGAAGCTTTTCTTTGCTGCTGAGGGGTTCACTAAGTAGATGCTACATACACACAGTGGCATAAACCTCTGCTGCAACTTTGTGTGTTAATGAGTATACATACACCTACTCTCGTCAAAATTCTACGCATCCTTTCTCCCCAGCCTCTCGCCTTTGCTATTAGATTAGAAGAACTCCTACAAGTCTGATACTCTCCATCGGGTCCAATGCTTGCATCCATCTTAATACCAAACCATCTACTTTTGGCAGCCACTGGTGTACCTGCTGA